CAAAATAAACGCAGCGAGTGCTACATTTCGAAAATAAAAATACAAAATAAACGCGCAGTTTCACCAGCCACTCACGCAATATAATTATGCTATTTTAAAACGCTTTGTGCATGTGGGAAATCGATGAGTGAACTCGAGCAAAATTATGCTAGTGCGAGAATTCGCTATATACCCGGCGGAGTACTCGCTAAAACATCGAGAAAATTTGCCATTTCAAAGGGCACCCCTTACAAATAATTTTGTGAACATGACGTGCAAACAAGGATATAGCAAATTATCTTTTTTTCTGTAATATTCGTGTGTAACCAGTAATTATGAAAATAATTTATGGGTGCAATGAATTATTCTTAATATAAATTTCTGAATTATCTTGTCAAAATCATTTTTTTTTCTCCCAAAAATCGAAATAATTTCACAATGTCGAAGATCTAAAAGTAGTGTTCAACATGACTTCATGACACAGCAAACTCGTGACTGACCGGAACCGTTGACTTTGTTGAAAATTCGCCAATTCACCATAATCGTGGTTGTGAACTGTTTCGCTGATTTTTCAAAAGATCATATGGATACTAAGTATTTAATTCATATTCACCCCAACCATAGACCTTAATAGATATTATATGCCCCAACTAGTATTCGAATATTTTTTCTGACATTGTTCAAAAAATCCTGGACAAGGATATGTCTGATAACAACTAATAATATGCAATTCTCCATGCAGTCTTAGAAATTATTGCTGATACTAATCACGTTTTTACTCGCACGTGTAGTACACGAACATAATAGTACTGTCGCATGTCCTTCGTCTTAGCCACATAACCGCCGCAGTACGCTTCATGTATGTAACATCGAATATTTAGTTTGATGATTGATAAACTTATATTCACCGTTGCTTTCATGTTACGTTAATACAAACATGATTGAAACTTGTCCCTTCCGGTGTTTTTTTCTTAGCCGAAATATACAGAAATACTACTATTCCGGTTTGAGTGTCCCGTTTACCGCAAGTGAGCAGTTAGTGGTAAACGATGCCCGACGACCAGTGTGTTTTGTTTATGTCATTAAAAGTATCAATATTGTGAAAGGCGCGCCCCGGCGAGTCAAAACAAAAAACACTTCTACTCACTGTAAACGTGACAAGACATCGAAATACACTAGACGGGAATTGGGAACACAACACACTATTATTTCAATTTTTATTTTTCCTGGTAATTGCATGCTCAGTGAATACTAATGATATCTCAATGATGGCGGAGGCATATAGTGAACAGGGGCGCATACAGGATTTGTTTTTATCGGGGGGGGGGGGGCAAACTTTAAAATCGCCAGACTAAGTTAATGATTTTTTTATATTATACAAAAACAAATTGAATACATTTTTCAGCGGGAGAGGGGTTCGGACCCCCCCCCCTAGATCCGCCACTGAGTGAAGTATAATCACATATCTGTATTATAGATTTACCTAAATTTATAACTCATAAACATAATTTCAGTTCACCAGTCTACGTAGCACAGACTTCCAATGCAATGTAAAATGTGGTACAATCATTGCTTTGAGTGACATAACTTTGTGTTATCGTGTTATCCAACGTGATTCATAAAAACCGTGGCATTCGGCTGTGCCAATGGTCATCAGTGCATGGATTACAGCAACTTCTAAATTGCGCCGGATCATGTCTCTGTAATGTGGGGCCTTTAGTCGAGTATTCGAAACATCGAACAGGCAGTATTTTAGAAATATGG